TGGGTGTGGATGGGTTAAATGCGGAGCACAATTTCATCATTGTGTGGAAACATACACTGATGACAAATAAAGCACCTTTACCTTTTAATATCCCAGCATTTTTGATGCAAAATTAGCAACATGTCTAATTAAAACTGTCAGAGCAACACAGAGAAAGAAAAAGGAGACACACACATACATCTTGCTATCTTTGTGAGGACTTCACACACGGCGCTCACTGCATCTCTGCCTCAGTCTGCACTTGTTTTTTACACCGGGCAAAAAACAAGCAAACATTTAAAGCAGCTGTTAAGTTAAGAGCACAGTTTGAAATGTACACTGAAGAAAGCCTGCATCAGGACTTTTATAACGTGATGTGAGCAGAGTCTGGTCCACATGATGGTGGACGGCTGCGCTCACTAAAACCTAACAGTGACAAAAGACCCAGAGCTTTTTATTTGAATCCAGCAGGGAGAAGAATACAGGTGTTCTTCTATGCCTCCTGTGAGCAGCTCCAGCATTTTTTAAAAGAAAAACATTATGGACACACTGATTACAGTGTGGCTTAAACATGGTGCTCGCTGCGCTCCTGTCTGTAAAACAAACTTAAACCCAGCTGTTCTCTCTCCCCTCATATTCCCACACAGAGGGTAGAAACAGATAAATTAGACAGTTAAAACACATTTACAGTTCAGAACTCACCCTTATTGTTGTTGTTAGCCCTCTGTCTCACAACATTAGCTGCTGCGCTGTCCCCGGGGGGAGGGGGCGGACACATGCGCTCACGTGACCCAAAGAACGCATCGGCTGAACGGACRGACGTATCGGCCGATACTGATACAAGGAAAAAACACAAATATCAGCCAAAAGTATCATCCGGCTGATGTATCGGTTGACCCCTACACAACAACCACACATCATAAACACAAACATGACAAACAAGAAACAACCACACAAAGAAGCTGTTTTACTTGACGTTCTTTCTTATTTTTTCCGTTGCAGTTGACTTTGGCGTGTCGGCACAGCTGGACAGAACGATTGGTCGAAGGAACACTTTCATTGGTACTCCTTATTGGATGGCTCCAGAGGTCATCGCCTGTGACGAGAACCCTGAAGCCACATATGACTACAGGGTATTTTCACTTTACAACTGGTTTTTACATGTTTTTGTTCTGATGGGTTTTTCTATAAACTCAAGATGAACTGCACACAGAAAGCAGCCACTGATACGTGTTAATAAAATAAAAATGAGTTTTAAATTCAAGCTAAAGTCTCCTGAACTGCTCTGTGTGTCTCTTGTTCTCAGAGCGACCTCTGGTCTTTGGGCATCACTGCTTTAGAAATGGCTGAAGGAGCTCCACGTAAGTCAGATTCACCTCTGCACAATTATCAAACACAACTACAGTTACTCACTTCTAACAGTTTTACATTCAGCAGCACATACAATAAAATGATCACCAGTGACATCTCCTCAGGGTTGTATTGGTTAGCTGGTCTGGTCCTACAGGTTTGTGTTAGCTTAATGCTAATGCAGCTGTTATGATTCATTAATCTGGGAGAGCTTCAAGGTCATTTCCAAACAATCCTGACTTCATCACTCGACASCAGTGGTTCTCGACTGATTTTCCTCAAAGTCCTGTTGTTTTACCTCCAGGCCAAGCTGAGCTGACCCTTCCTCCACCCCTCACTACTGCCCAACCAAAGATGCATCCAACCTTTTTCTGTTTATCAAAAGAAACAAAAGAATAAAGCGAAAACTACTTTTCTTTGAAAACAGAAGAAAGAAGAACTGTATGAGATAAGTCTTGTGTCAGCAGGAAGTGAATCTGAATGTTCATCATTTGAAACTGAATTCATTGGTTTGGAAATAAATTTCACTAAATTTAAACTGAATTTAAAGTTTTGTATCTGAATTAATTTTCTTTGAAACTGTATTTTGTTTTATTACAAATTCAGTTTGACTACTTTCACTTTCAGTTCCAAATTCAGATTTTTGTGTCACATCCTGGTCCTTGAGAAAGCCAGGCAGAGTAATCAAACACAGATAAACAGATTTATGTTTCACTTTGGTGAAGTTTCNTTTACCAATATTAGGAGAATCAGAAGCAAGTTTCCTCTTGAGATGACCTACACTGAAAGACAAAATCATTAAAGAAGGTTTGGATTGGTAAAGCTTTTATTGTAACTAGAGGACAAACCTTTCATCAGGACTTGTGTAAACTGAATCAGTTTTAATAATAGTCTTTTTTTAAAAAAACAGAATGGGTAGAGTTGTGTCTTAAAGGCTCTGCAGTAAACAGCATACATGTCTAAATCAAGTCAGACCCATGACCCAGCTGCTGGTGTTTTTTCTTCCAGTGATGGTGGTCATCTGACCCATTCATTGTGTGTTTGTTTGTCTTCCAGGGTCTTTCCCATCTGCACTCCCACCATGTGATTCACAGAGACATTAAGGGACAAAACGTTTTACTGACAGAGAACGCTGAGGTCAAACTGGGTAAGAAACAGACTCATGGAGAGGGCTTCCTCAGGCACGACCCGACAGAGCCCAGACCCAACGACACAACAATAGAGATCGACCGATACAGGTTTCTGAAGGCCGATATCAAGACCGATTTTTTTTACATCAGTCTGATACGTGCAGCCGATTTTTTTTACATCAGTCTAACCGATACGTGCAGCCGATTTTTTTTGTCGATTCTTTAAGCCGATACTGCCTTTTCTTCCTCCTTTAACATGATAAAAATAAGAATGATAACAAATCTTACACAAGTCTTAATTTAAAACAAAAAAAAACCCATTTATTAACTAAGCCTTGTCTGATGCAGGCTGTATTAAGTGCTACCACACAGGATTTCTTCTTTAAAAAAATTAAAAATAAATAAATTCATTATTTATTATAAATAAATTCATTATTTAA